CCGCTGCACTCCAGTCTGGGCGACAGAGTGAGACTCCAACTCAAAAAAAAAAAAAAGAGGCTGCAGAAGTGGAGGGACCCAGGTGACTACAGTCAGGGTGGAGAAATGCCGCAGCAGAGACTGGACCACCAGGAACCTTTCCAGTAGTATTGAGAGGTCCACAGGGGAGAGGACTGGGCCAGGGCTGCTTTGGGGACCTCCAGCCTCTAGAGGGCACTAGACCACCATGAGACAAACCAGAAATGGAGTTTCAGTCAAGGTCTCAATACCTGCAGGGACTAGGGTAGGGGAGAGAGGCACTCATCTTGGGTACAGAATTTAAGGACATGCCAAAAATTCAGTAATCAAGATAAGTCAGATTTCAGTGCAACATTTTTTGTGCAATGGGGACAGTTGTTTCCAATCAGCTGGAGGTTTCTGGGTGGGTCTCGGCCATCCCCTGCTTTGTGAGTATCTGAGGGCTCACAACGGGATGTGCTTGGATTGGAGAATCTGGAGCTTTCTGTGTAGTGATGTTTTGTGATCGTAAAGCTTTGACTACACTTCACCACTTGGCTCAAAATGCGGGGGAATATCTTGGTCAGTGGATATAAGGGCTCACATTTTTCTTTTGCTTCAGGGGCTAACATGGCTCCACATGGCATCGGCCTCGACCCTTACTTCCTTACGGAACTTGCAAAATGTGCATTTAAGCAGGCCGCATCCTCAAGTGGGAACAAAACTGCAGATCGCCCCTGACAGAGACCCTGCCTCTGTTGAACACTTTTGCCATGTATAAATAAATGGCCGTTCACAGGCAGGCCACAGTCTGGGGAAATTCTGAAACCAAGTTACACATAGGCTAGTGCGCTATACATCAGCAATTTATCTTGTTATTTGGTTTCTAAACCCATTAATACATTTCCTAAGAACTCTGCTTTGGAAAAATCACCAAAGCAACTAGAAGAGAGAGAACGAGTAAAACTAGACAAACTAAAAGTCTTCCCCCCAAATTTTTATTACAACCCAATCATCCTGCACAGTGAGAGAGAGTGGGTGAGTGACTGTCTACAACCTTCACTAATTGCCATCAGTTTCCCGCAACCTTCTCTCCACAAAGGAGAGCATCAAGGGGGAGGGGGTGTCGGACAGGGGTCCGGAGCTTAGCTCGGGCTCGTGTTCCCTTCACGCCTTAGGAGCTTTGGGGACCTCTGATTCCACTCCAGTCTTGACCCGAAATGGCCATCTCAATCTTCTGTTCTCTTCTGGTTTCGGGACTCGAGCCTTTTCGGGACTCGAGCCCCGGGCGGTCAGTTCTCCAGAGGGTGCCCCGAGCCCGAAACGCGGGCCTCCTCCGACTCCCCAGGGCCTGTGACAGTGGCTGCGTGGGCTCAGGGACCCCTGGGAGGGCGCGTCCCCGGCGCCGCTCACGGTGTGCACCGTGCCCCTCCCCGGCCCTGCTCGCCACCGGGATGCCTCTGAGGGACGAGCCGGAGGCGCCTGGACAGTGGCCAGCCGGG